CCTTTGTGGTCAAACTGCCTTGGGGTGTGTGGGGGGGGGGGGAGAGGAGGATATACCCCTGGGCAGCCAGACACAGTCTCATCCTCTACGCCAGCCACAACAATGAGGGAATTAAAGTAGCAGACCTGCCCATTTATCAGTCTGTGATGTGAGTAGGCATAATCTCACCTAATGGGTTCCTTCTAAAATCCTACTTTCTCTTTTGTCAAGCGGGATGGACAAATTTTTTTTTTCTCCAGTCTTTTGAGTGGTGAGACATGACAGTCTTTGATTGACTGGGAAGATTTTGGTGGTGTCCCAAGATGCAAACCTATCCTATGTTTGATGATGCGTTTTGTGGCCAGAAGCTCCTATTCCAGTGAGACCATGAGTTCTCAGTGTTTTGCCTTTGTTTGTTGTTGTTGTTGGCCACTGTGCCTTTATAGTGAACTATATAAATCAAGAAAAAATCCACTGCTTTTCAATGGAGGTGAACAGGCCAGATAGTTTACTTTTAATAAGCCAGGAGGAAAAATAGTTTTCTTTCTACTGCCTCTTTTTCTTTCAGTCATGACAGTGCAGCATTTGAGTGGCGTGTTGTTTTTCACTGTATCCTACAGTCCTTATTACTCTGTAACTCATAACTATAATTGCAGTGCTTGCAAATTTAGCTCACATTGTCTGTAATAAGATTGTGTAATAAGATCTCAAGTATATCCTGAGATTACCTAATACTTCCTCATCTGACTCTTTGAATCAGTGTAACCTGCCTTACTTTCAACACCACTGTCTGTCTTATTATTCTGGAAAAATATGAATCCAGCCTGGTTTAGCGTTGTTCTGCTTGATGTCTGTTTAGAAGGCGCACAAAAGACAGTGCGAGTCAACAGTTTGGCTCATTGTTCTGCTGTAAACAGCATATAAGAAGACATTGTGGATAAGTGTGCATGGGTCTTACAGTCTTGTATATTTAATGCTAGTGTGAGTAAATTTAAGCTGTGAAATATAGTGCTGGGTGATGTTAAGTTATATAGAGGATATAAAGTGAAAACTCCTGACTGTGGAAAAAACAGACAATGCGTGAAACAGTGAAAGACCTTCATTGTGGGTTAAAAAAAACCATGCAGCCTATGTATGTGTCCTATCGGGCAATTCATTTGTTTGTTTGTTTATTCTTTATCTATCTATCTATCTATCTATCTATCTATCTATCTATCTATCTATCTATCTATCTCATCCTTATCATTGTTTCCTCTAAAGTGCTCATCTTTGAATTTATGTCCATTGTCCAACTGCACTCAGAAGCAGTTACATAAACTGGCTGGATGGATGGATTTTAATCCTGTTGGAAAGTGCAATGCAGAGTTCTACCACAAGAGGGCTAACAGCCACAGGAAATACACATGGGTCATTTTTCTGTACTTACAGAAAACACAGTGTCTGCTCTCGTCTCGACTGATGATAGACAGATGCATTAAGTTGTCTTCGGTGACAAGCAGCCATAATGGTGATACTACGGTCCTTTTGCTGTTATCCCCGACTTTAAAGGGTAAGAAGACATCACTCATGTTGCCATTCTGTGGCCATGTTGCTCCCATGAGTGTCCCCTGTGATTCTGTGCTCTGGTGTTTCAGACTAGGATGGTTTGACATTGACGGTGCCGTTAGCTATGCAGTAGCATGGAGCCTGGTAGCATCCTCCTAGTCAGTGCTTATGTCCCCTGACAACAGCATGTATAGATTACAGACTCTATGACAAAGCATAGGCAGATTTAGACTTATATTGTCTGTTAAATATGAATCAACCTCCCCATTTGATTCCAGAATTGGCTGCAAGTACATTTATTTTAAAGTTATTGTTAAATTTGGAAATTATAACTATTGCAAAAAGTTAATATTTTATTCGAAAATATTTAAAACTCTATTGATTGTACATTTTTTGTAGATTGTTCTAAATAATCAAAGTCAAATTATTACTCAAGAAATTTAAATAACTGCACATATTACAAGTGAATGCAAATTTTTTATTTTTGCTGAGACAATAAGAAATATAAATATTTATGTTTTGGTATCATCCAGTTATAGGTTTGTGAAATATATACATAATGTAGACATACATATCTTTGTGATTGGTTGTAGTATTTACATTACAATTGTCTGAATGAACCATTTTCCTGGATTGAGGGGAAAAAAACTTGACACCTTATTTTCTTGACATAACTGTGTATGTCAATGTGTGTGTCAATAGCGTGTGTGCCCTGTGATGGGTTGGCACCCTGTCCTGGGTCATTCCATGCCTTGTGCCCGTAGCTTCTGGGATAGGCTCTGGAACCCATGCGACCCTACATAGGACAAGCAGGTACGAAAGACGGATGGATGGATGGATTAATGGAGGGATGGATGGGTAAAGAAAACCTCACACAATGATTACATACTGCAATGTACATAGCAGAAAACATCACAGCTCTAAAATCAGTGGCAATTAGCAGTTGAGTAGCTTGGATATTCAAGTGACTCTGCAAGTTTTTTGACATGAAAGAAATGCTCCGAAGAGACATTTCGCATATTCGTACCATATGGTTTTTGTGTTCTAAAGCCAAAGCTAGCATGGATTTAAGGTGCAGTATTTGGTGTCAGCACCACCTAGTGGTAAGGCCATGATTAGGATATATGGCTAACATTTAATTACTGAATTAATTTTAATTTATCCACAGGTGCTGTGTCTGCGTAATTGCTGCAAGTGCAGTAATTGCATTACAGAAAGACCGTTCCTTAGAAAAACACCAAACTCGTTTTGCAAAGAAGCCCGTTCCTCGCCCACACATTGATTAGGTAATGCTCATGCAGCTTCAGGAGAAACTATGTCCCACAGATGTAATAAACAACCCCCTGTCTTGACTCCTGAAATACTTTCGTTTAAACGATATATGATGCCTGCATGAAACCAAGCTTTGCCTTCCAGTTTAGCTGTTTGCAGCTCATTAAGGGAGTAGCAATTTAATTAATTAATTGATAGCAATTGCACTTTTGCCTGGTTCGGATGAAGGGAAGTCTAAGCTTTAACCAAAAACGGCAAAGTTAATTAGTAAATGAAAGGGGTGCTAAAAAAAAATGCTAAAATAAGTATGAAACGGGAATTTGAACTTTGACCTTTTCACAGGAGCTGCGGGGGACATGACTAACCACTTTTCCACTTTCCATGGGCCTAAAATCAGACAAAAACAGACAAAAACAGACAGTTACTGCAAACGCAGAGGCTCACGGATCTGATTGCATCTCTGGCCCTGGCAACAAATGAGGGGTCCTGTCGGATGTGACAATGGCAGTAAACTAGTACTCTAGTTCCAGCTGCTTTTTGATGAGAGTAATAAATGGTATGCAAAAAATCCGGAATGGTTAGCCGCCTCCTAAGTATCTTTCAGCAGCTTATGTGTTGGTATTTAACTGCAATTTTACTGACCATTTGACTACGTCACACAAGTGTCTGAATGGTCTCTTAAACACAGCTTGTCTCAGATGATCCATAAGAACTTAAAATGCCCCACTGGATATTTTGTATTCACAGTAGGGGGTAAGAAATCATTTCTGTTATTGAAAGAATCATATTTCCCAGGTGCCTTTAAGGCATGCTGTCTTTGGCTGGCGGATTATGAGGGTAGGAGAGTGTCATTTGAGTCTGTACTCATCCAGGGAGATTTCAGCGAGTGTTCGTCTAAGGAAACATGCCTTTGGGTACCTAATTAATCAGGAGCATTTGCCCATGATAGCGTTCAGTCCATTATTACCGGACAGTCACTCCATTTAGTTTTCCATAAACTGCATTTGATTTTCTTGAAATACCAGCCTGAAAGCAAAATATAGCGAAATACTGCATGTGTGATCTTGTGAGGTAGTACACTAGTTATAATGTCCTTTTATGGAAGATAATGATGGAATACATGAAGATAAATGGTATTTTCTTCAAAACCATCAGACAGAGTAATGCAGATTTTCCTCTAAAATATTTACATAATTAGAGGTTTGAGTTGAATGCTTTACTTAATCATTTGTTCTCTCGCTGGTGTTCCACCAGGTCCTTAAATCCATGACCCTAACAACTGCACCACCTGCTGTCCAAAGCTCGTAGTAGTACTTAATACACTGTTTTCTTTGTAATTACTACGTGAAATAGACACCTCCATAGCCAATCATAGAGAATGACCTATGTGTCATTTATGATTCATTTGTGTTCCTTTCAGAATTATAATGAAATTGTAGAATATTTAATTTAAATTGTTAAAATTCAGTTGTCTGTGTGCTGTTTTGCTTTGTTTGGCTACTGGTATCGTTAACTTGTTTATCGACAGAAGGTGGTAATGCTGTTGTTTGTGCAATGCTCTCATTCTCGCACTCTGCATAATGTGAAAAGTTTTACCCTTCATCATAATAAAAAAATTATTCTACAAGAGGTACATCTCAGTGTGAAGCCATGTTTTGCGTTTGTTGCTGGACGTCATTCATCAAGCTCTTATAATTTAATTCCCTCCAGTCTTTTTCAATATTGTGAATCATTATTTGTATTTACCCTATCTAAAGCACTTGGCACTGAAAAATCCAGCTGAGATGAAACTGTCTAATTTAATACTGCATCCTAGGGATTTCAGGCCTTTGTTATAATGATACTTTACAGCCATAATTCTTTATTACCATTATTCACCTGGGGAGAATGTTGGAAAGATTTGAATTAAGTCCTTTTAATCTAGGCTGGAGCAGACTGTGTGTTGGTAAACTCAGTTTTTGGAAATGCACAGCAACCTTAGCTCTGGCTCTGA